GATCGTAAGCTTACTATCTATTTTGGTTACCTCAAGTGTAATCGATCAACTCCAACTTTTTTTGCCGGCAACTGGCTCATGCATGCCTATCCCTACACGTCACCTTCAATCTCAATCATTCTAATATAAGAATTTATTACGTCATATGCTTAATGTAATATCTACTTAATTAGTTTAGATAGATTAAAAGAACTAGTTAAATTAGTTATTTATTAAAAATATATTGGTTTTTCTAAAATATCTTCTTTGGTTTCTCTGAACTACTCTCTTATGTTGTTTACACTGAAACTATCCTGTGATATAAACACTTTTAAGATGTGTAATAAGAAGGAATAAAATAACAATATTTTTTAATTTACAATTTTCTCTCACATTAAATATAAAAACTAGTTGAAAAGTTTGTAATCGGTTATTTTAATGATATAAGGTATGTTTGGATTAGCGGTGGAAGAAGTTACTTTTTTTCAATTTGACTTTTACAAAAGTGAGATTAGGTAAAAGTTAGGTAGTATAATGTGATTTATGTTTGGATTGGTTTTTGTAAAAAAAATCAGTTTAAGAAGTTAAAACTTGTTTGGATAATTAATAAAAAAGTAAGTTTAGATATAAAATGACTGAAAAGGACATAAAATTTATTAAATAGTATATATTTATATTATATGTTTATAATGTGATAATTGTCAGAGAAAAATTAAAATTAAAATTATAAAAATAAAAATAGTTATCTTTTAAAAAATAATAAATTTATTTTTTAAAATGATTTTATTATTCAAAAAATAATTTTTTTAAAATTAAAAACCAATTGGCCGGATTAAAAAAAAAGAACTCACATCATGCATTCTCTCTCCTCCCTCACTCATGGGCCCCACAAAATGTGTAGTAGAGAAGCTATTTTTGAGCAACAGCAGCGGAGAAGCTGAAGGCAGGAGTTTTTGAAAAAAAATCAGTTTCCGGTACAAGTCCATTTATTTTCACGTCGAATCCAAACATCTCTTTTAGGTAAAAAGTTACTTTTTTCAGTTTTTACCAGTAGAGAAATCAGTTTGGAGGCCTTCATCGTGATCCCAAACATACCCATAGACTCTTTTAACATATGCAATCAAATATATATGGTTTCTAATGTAAGTATATAATTGAAGTGGGTTATTTTAGTAAAACTAACAGACTGAAATATGATATATGATGAGAAGACACGCTTTATGTGTAACAAAAATTCTCAATATATTATGTATTTTTAAAACATACCTAACTCACCATAATGTATGAAAAAAATAAATTCACTATTTAGAGATAGAGTGTTGAATGGATGAGAACTAAAGAAAGAAAGATACCAAGCTGCTCTTTAGATGCAACAAACTGGGGCATGCTCTTGTGATTATGGGCTTTGCCCATCAGCCACAACATAACATTCTTATACTTAAACGACAGTGACGTTCACAGGTCGTTTTGCCCAGCCTCCAACAAATACTCTAACTTTGCTTCTTTTCCTTTTTCTTAATTAATTTAATTTAATTTAGCGGAAGGATGGTTTATTATTTATGAAGCTACAAAGGTATCCTACTTTTTTTGGTTCACACTTCACCGGCTTATCTGCAAAAACTGCCCGACCTTCGGGTGTGAGAAATAGAATTCTCCAAGTTCTTGATTTATTTTTTATAATTGGAAGAAAAAGTCTCATATGTGTCTGTGCGACTGTGTGTCTTAATTTTTTTTAATTCTGTAAATTTTGCAAAAGAAGATTATTCCACGAGTTATGAAAAGATATTTTTCTTCTACCAGAAATATGTGGACGAGATAAACTCAATAGGAGTCTCTTATACTAAAATCATTAATTACATAAAAAGTCGTTCTTTGATTATTTAAAAACTAAATTTTCCTTAATTGATTTGCCCAAAGCTAACATCTTTTGATTTAAACCACACTCGAAATGATTATTTCATTACAAAGTAGGCCACATAATAGTGTTGAAAGAAAATGATACTTGAACAAGTTCAAAACTTCATATGGACTTTTATCACATTCTATTTCAACTACCATTTCAAGTGAATGTAATTTTATCCAATTAAGATAAGAAATTTTTTGGGGCAACAAGATAATTAAGAAATCATCTCGATTATTGAAATTCTAAATTGGTTATTATTCATTTTATTAAAGTATTAACTTACCTTTTTATTTTATTTAACCACTGAGAAAGGTATTAAAAATTGAAGGATGAAACAGCTATTGAGCTGTGCCGGAGTTGGATCCATGGATGGTATTAACTACAAAGTAGTTGGAAGAATGAAAAATTGAAAACCAAAATTGCAAGCAATTAACGAATCTGTTTGAAAGAGTTGGGTCAAATCACACATATGAAGAAATACTTCCCCGCAAATCTAACAGCTAGTTAGGATGTTGATTGTGATATTAAATATAAGATTTCGATCTATTCTATCTCATAAATTTATAATTTTTTCTCCAAATTATTTATACTGATTCCATATGTTAAGAAAATTTCCATCAACAAATAGTTCTAATGCAAATGATTAAAAGTATAAATTTTTAAAAAATCAACATATATTTTTAATAAATAACTAATTAGATTATTTTTAAAAAATTTATATAATATTATTTAACTTTTATATTAAGAATCAGGAAGTGTATGGTTAGGGTGGAAGCGTGAGCCTTCATTGGAAGAGAGGTTACGTAGGTTGTTTCACTTTCTGGTACGCCACTTTCACTTTCAGCATCAAAGCGCCTGACCTTCTAGATGTTACACCTCGTCATTACTCTAATCACCAACCCAAAGCAAGATTAACAGTGCAAAACTCAAATTCAATGATTCTTCTTCTTTTTTACCCAATTATGTAATTTTAATGGTGTTTTTTGGATGTAAGCAACAACTTGCTTTATTTTAATTTGTTGCCTCTCCTAGCCATACAAGAAATTGACTTTTCACTTTACTGTATTAAGCTTGAGGTTTATTAATGTTTGATGCCAATTTAAATTTTCTTTTATTTTCTTAAAAAAAAAAAAAGGCTTTTCTTTTCTGTAGGTAATCATTTGACCGCTTGCAAAATGGAAACTGAGCGTTGGACTGTTGTTATCACGCAGACTGTTTGTTTGGAGCCTCTTAACCAAGTTTTGTCTGAAAAAAGAAATGCGGCTGAAAATTAAGAGGGCCATTGGTTTCAATTTTTAAACGTCAAAAGTCCATTTCCACAACCAACACTAACTAAAAGTTTGCTTGGGTTTTACAAGCTTGTCCCAAAAGCCTGTTTCTTCAATTGAAAAGTTAATAACGCAATTTTTTTCCACAAATAATTAATTTTTAACAAGGAACATGATTTATATATTTTTTTATTATATAGTATTCAATACATCAAATTTTATGTTTTTATATATTTTTAAAAAATTCAAATTTTACATGATAAAAGTTTCATATAATTACGCCCATATCCTTTTTAATAGTTATACATTTAAAAGCAATTCTGATTAAAACAAACTTTCAGTTTATTAAACTAACCCTTCCAAAAAAAAAAGAAGAGAATATTGAAATACTTTGTTCTGTATATTCAATATGCTTTTATCCAATTAAATTAAACTAAGTAAGCTCTAAAACAATAATAAATTTGATAATAAGATTTCATTATAAAATAAATAACACATAAAAATTCATATACCTGGAACTGATTAAAAATAAGTATCTTAAGGAAATTTGTTTGATCTAAATATAAAACCCGCTACAATAATTACCACCATCAGTCCTAAATATAATATTTATTTTGTATTACAATCTAATCTTAAATATAATAATTTTTTTGCAGTGTAATTGATATTATAAAGTGGAATTTATATTTAGGATTGAAAATTTTTAATCCAATTTCAATTCAACGAATGTACTTTCTGCGAACAAACTCTTCTGTAACAAACCCAACACCAAACCTACGATGAGGAAAAATTGTGTGTCTGGGCTGAAGCGCCTTGATTCCCTTCACACTCCATTACATGTATTATATTTAAATACATCAAATTATCTATAGAATTTTTTTAAAAAAAGAGACACTTAAATAACCTAAATTTTTATTTAGATTATTGAATTTATCAAATTTATAATCAGGTCACATGACTCAAAAAGGGATTTTAAAATTTTATGAAATAACTCTAATACCCGTAGAAACCCAGAAGAATAAGAATTTTTTATTATTTTCAAGTTATTAATTTAGAATTAAAACATGTTATTAACATTTAAAATTGTATCATGACAGTTTTTATTCAAAAATTTATTGCAAGTGTGTTTTGGAGATAAAAAATTATTAATTTAGAATTAAAACATATTAACTACGAAATGTAACGTATTGATTTTCAAAATTGTATTAATTTTCCTTTGATTTCTAATTAAATGGGCATCAAAGTCATTTTATAAAATTTTAGAATCCTCTTTGGGTCTTATGAGCTTATTAAGGATTTGACAAATTTAATGACCTAAATAATAATTTGGATTATTTTAAGGGATTTTTCCTTGTATATATGATTATAAAATTCATATCATGACTACATCCTAAAAAACATATCTTTTTTATTAATTTTCACAAATTAAAATATTTTAAACTCAAATAATTCAAACATCTTCATTTGCTGATAAAATTTTTTATGTTTTGCAGCAGAAAAAGGTTTTGAGTATCCATCAATCTTTATTGAACTAGGTTCATGGGGCCAAGCCCAATGTTTAGGAGACCAAGCATGCGTCTAACTCGTTAGCCCACCAAAGGACAGCCATTAGCCACTTGAATCCATCTTCGTTGGCTAGATTTGAAATTTTACTTAAAAAATAAAAATTTTAAATATGAAAACACACACGCACCCCGACAAATGAATGGACCCGTGACCAGACAAACAATCACCAATTGCCATGAAATGATTACGACAAGGAAGCCTGACTTAACCTGAATTTCCGATGAAGGATTAACCTCTTGTTAAATATAAACACGGGAGTACAGCGCAAGCTTTACTCAAAACAGTGCAATAACGAAAGCAACTTTATATAAAGCAAGCATTTAGACTAGGCACTACAATTATTAGCAAATAAAATTACAACTTGCTCAACTTGACGGGACCCATCTCCTTTGCCCTGGCCCTCAATATATGCTTCTGTATCTTCCCAGTGGCTGTCTTTGGCAATGGTCCAAAAAACACCGACTTGGGTATCCAATAAGCAGGCATCTTTTCTCTACAGAACTTCATTATATCGTCAGCAAGACGTTGCTCATTAGAACCATCCACACCTGGCTTTAATGTCACAAAGGCGCAAGGAGACTCACCCCATTTCTCATCTGGCCTTGCAACCACTGAAGCCTCCAGTACTGCAGGGTGAGCGTACAGAGTATTCTCGATCTCAACACTACTGATATTTTCAGCCCCAGAGATGATTATGTCCTTTGATCTGTCTTTGATTTCCATATATCCATCAGGGTGTTTCACAGCAAGATCTCCAGAGTGGAACCATCCGTTTGCAAAGGCTTCTTCGTTTGCTTTTGGGTTCTTTAAGTAGCCTTTCATCACAGCATTACCACGCATCATAATCTCTCCGATGGTAGTTCCATTAGCAGGAACAGGTTGCATGGTTTTCGGGTTTATGACATCAAGACCTTCTAAAGCAAGGTAGCGAACGCCTTGCCTTGCATGGAGCCGGGCTTGGGTTTCAGGGGGAAGAGATTCCCACTCAGGCTTCCAGACACATACTGTGGAGGGGCCATAGGTTTCTGAGAGACCATAAGTGTGAGTGACGCGAAATCCTCGTTGTGTCATGGCAGAAAGAACAGAAGGAGGAGGAGCAGCCCCTGCTGTATTCACATGCACAACATGGGGAAGAGGAAGAATGGCTTCCTCAGGCCGGGCGTTAACTATTGAGTTCAGTACCACTGGTGCTGCACAAAAATGTGTCACTTTGTACTTGGCAATGGCTTCATATACTGCCCTTGCAGTAACCTGTATAAAAAGCATTCAGTTGAAGGAAAATAATTGAGTTATCAAAGTAGGTATTAGGTAAAGAGAATGGATCTCAACAAGGATATTATAGTATGCATTAACTAACAAGTGAATCATGCATAAAGACTTCAGCTTCTCACAGCAAACAAAGAACAGGTCATTTGAAATATAACAAAAGATTCTATCTACCTTGTTTTAAAATAAGCATGCTATCACTTGTCACCTACTGAACAAACCAAAACGACCAATACAGAAGTAGTGTTCTGTAACTCCAAGCAAAATATCAAGGCCAATATTGACAATAGTGCCAAAATTAAAGCTAGAAATAGAAAAGACAAACACGGCATGTCAGGCATGTTCACAAGGATGACAAGACAACTTGTTGAGACTCTCAACAGAATGCAGAACAAGAACAAATCCATTGATATACCTGGCGAAGGCATATGTTAGTCCCACAAAGAGCGGCAAGTGTCCAAGTGTAGCACCAACCATTGCAATGAAACATAGGTAGTGTCCATAGATAGACAGCTCCTTCGTTCATCCCCCAAATGAGAGCTCCACTTAGAGACATGACATACGCCCCTCGGTGATGTAATACCACACCCTTAGGACTAGCAGTAGTTCCAGATGTATAACCCAGAGCAATGCTCTGCCACTCATCTTCTGGTGGTTTCCAAGCAAATTCAGGGTCACCACTTTCTAGAAATTTCTCATAGTCAATGGCACCTTTCGCCAAAGCATACCGTAATGCCTTAGGATCACAATTTTCATCACCAATGACTATTAAGATTGGAGGCTTAAAATTTTCGCTTTTCTCGGACCAGATTTTCAAAGCTTCCTCTGCCAAGGAAAAGAACTCTTGATCCACCATTACAACTGCGGCAGTTGAATGACCAAGAAGAAAAGCTATGGTTGATGCATTTAGTCGAATGTTAACAGTATTCAGCACAGCTCCTGCCATAGGAATTCCAAAATGAGCTTCATAAAGGGCAGGAATGTTAGGTGCAATAACTGCTACCTGTTGGCAGGAGAAGAAAATTACTTCAATAGTGAACACACTCTAGTACAACATGACAGAGTAACAAGGCCATCGTATTGAAAGTTTAACACGGGGAAAAGACTAGAAAGAAGCCCCAAAGGATTTGAGCAAGATCTTTTCATTAAATCGTCGGGAACAGGTCTCCAAGTAGAACCACTGCAAATTTTTTGGCACATCAATTCCTTTATGGGAGCGATTTTAATCACACACCGACATTCATAAAGGCGACCAATTAGTAAATGGTCGTGATTTTATTTATATTCATCATACAACGGAAGAATTCTAATCTCTGCTTCTATATACTTTCGCCTACCTCTGACCATCGAATTGCATATTTTGTCATAAAATAAAATAAAATTGAAAAGTCGTAAGCTTATCTATTTTACTTTAATTAATGAGATGACACGATGCCAGGAAATTTCACAAGCTTACGTAACAAACCTGAGTCAGCGAAAACCAAGTCTTGCTTAATTTAATCTAGCTCGATAAAGATTTGGCAGTCTTATCCAAAGAAGAGGCTAGATTAGGTTCTAATCGTGAATTATGAGGAACTCTGAAATTAACAATGAATTGTAGAGCTACAACGAAGCCATTCCATTTCAGTCAGATGATGAAAACACCCATAACTCATTTTCGTCCGGAAAGGAATCGCTATACGGCCATCATTGAATTTGGATGGTCTCTAGTCGAATCCATTCCAGAATAAAACAAAATCTGCAGTCATATTTGTTCATCTCTAGTAGGAAAGGCATAAGTCGCAACAGCTAAAAAAACATCGGGGTGATTTAAATATACTTTATGAATGATTCGTTCGGCCTAAACTAGAGGTGGAATCTTTTGTGTATGTTTTCCGTAAAGATAGAACTTTGTATGGCATATTCAAAAGCTTCTTGAATTTTCTCACCAACAAATACAAATCTTAAATTTACAAAAAATCAAATTATGTGCATTAAAGATTATAATAAACATCGTCAGCAACAGCTCTCAACTCTTCATCATAAAAATAATGTTATCGTTCCATAAGCCGGAAAAAAGTCAATTTCCAGCAATTCAAAAGCGCCATAATTCTGCAAGAACGGCTAATCGATTTTAAGAATTTAAACCCACTCTCTTACAATTCAATAACATTTCTATGCACCCAAAAATGAGAACTAATATACAAAAAAATTAACGTCGACAGAAATTCTTTATATAATTATATAATATAATTAGTATAGCATATATTTAATAAAGTAAAAGCAATTGACCTTATTAATTTCTAAATAAATTAAATATTTTATTTTATTTTTTTAATAACTTATTAAAAAAGTTCTTTTTTGTAAAAAGAGAGAGAGAATACGACAGAGCGAAAAAATGGACCCTGGGAGATCCAAATTCGAATCTCCCACCACAAAAATAACCCAGACACTGGGGGGCTAGGCCTACAGCCATAGAGCCTTATTATCATACTTCCGCCTCCAATATTTATATTTATAATGAAAGAGAAGTACCCAGGAACTAAAAGATTCATTTACTCTTAAAAATCAAGTTAATTCAGATAAACTCCTGCGTTTCCATCGTTTGCTGCTGTAAAATCGGGGTGATGGGATCTTATCATAGAACGAAGAAAAACGAAGGTTGAAGGTGACAGAGAAATACCGTAGAGCCGACACCGATGGAACGGAGAGAAAGAGCAGAGGCCAATCGGCGGCAACGCTGGTAAGTCTGAAGCCAGGTATAGTGGAGGGATCCATGGATAACCGATCTTCTGGTGGGATGCACCTGAGCTGCTCTTTCTAGAAACCACAACGGCGTCAAGGCTGTGTAGTTCGCCGCGTTCTTTGGAAGATCGTCTATGTCGCGCCCCACCATCGTCTCTGCTCCGCCTCCTCTCTCTCCGCTCTCTCTCCCTCTCTATCAGAATTTCCGTTTTCCCTCTCACACTGCGTTAAAGCTCGATGCATATGACTTCAGCTGCTCCCGGCCGCGTGCCTATATATAGAAGGCCTCGGAGAGAGTGGACGCCTGATCGAACGGCCAATAATGCCTGACGAAGCCAATTTCTCTTTCATTTTTATTTTTCCTGTGTTCCGAATTTGGCGTCATTATCTTTAGCGGTGTGTCTCTGGCTGGCGTTACTGTTAATAATTTTTAAAATTTTTAACTAAATTAGAATCTTCACTGGATCTAGATACATCGCGTTAAATGTGAAAAATCAATTGCATTATCACTAATCTCATATAGTAAATACCAACTGCTCCATTCTTTAATATAAAAATTAGTTTAATTTTTAATTTAATTTTAAATATAAAATTCTAATTCATTTATTCTGTATTTTATATTTTTTTTTAAGTAGATTCTATACTTTACGGCAGTTATACATGTTAAAAGTTCAATTAAATAATAACGTTACTTGATATGTGATTAATAAGAGTATTTTAAAAAAAATAACACTTAATTATTATAAATAATTAATTTAATAAAAAATTTTAATCTATTTAAATTAGTAAAATAGCTTTTATATTAAAAGTAAAGGAATTATTTGTTTTGTTGGCAAATAAAAAAAGAAGGCAAATATTTGTTATCAATTTTATATAGGGTTAATTAATCCTCAAGTCCTTATAGTTTCAACCAATTTTGAATGAGGTCCTTATAGTTTTTTTTCTTTTTATCAAGTCTTTATACTTTCATTTGTTTTTAATTAAGTCTTCGTATTTATTTTTCTTTTTATTAAGTCCTTATAATTTCACTAAATTTTTAATCAGGTTCATCTAGTTTTAATTTTTATTTATTAATTAAATATAAAATTAATTAAATTAATTAATACTGAAACATAAAATATTAATAATTAAATTAAATTAATAACTATATAATAAAAGATAAGGAATATAATTAATTAATTCAGGAAAAAAATTTAGAACAATTATTTTTTTTTGAAAAAAATTATTATAATAATTTATTATTTTTAAAATATTATTCTTTATAACTAATATTAAATAATAAATACTATTTTATGTTTATAGAATAGTACTATTAGAATTTATAAAATAAAGAATAAAAAATTTAGAGACTTAATTAAAAATAAAGTGAATTTATAAGGAGTTGATAAAAAGAAAAATAAATACAAGGACTTAATTAAAAACAGATAAAAGTATAAGGACCTGATAAAAAGAAAAAAAATTATAAAGACCTTATTTAAAATTAGTTGAAACTATAAGGACTTTCAGATTAATTATCTCTTTTATATATCATATTTGAATATCAATATAAATGGATAGAAAAAGTAGATCCCTTTTCTCAAGATACGAAAAATGGCTGTAATGTTGACAGTTGAAAGACGCTGATTCCAAAAACGATCAAATATGACACTTCCTCTTTTTTGCTATCATTAGAATATTAATTTAATAATATGAATAATATCATATATTTTTAACCATAAATGGAGTGATAATTATAAACAATATTATTCAGATCAGATTTTAGATGATACAAGGAAATATATCTAGTCATCATAAAAAATCAGAAAACTTGTTATTAGATTTTAGATTCCATGAGAGGTATAATGAGATTCAATGATTCAGGAAAATTATATTTTCAAAAATTTGTGTCCATTTTGTCGTAATTTATGTAAAAATTAAAAGAACTTTGAAATTTTTTCTAATAACTATAATCCAATTTGTCAGTTTAAAATATTTACCACAATAACTTAATGCAATTTATATAATTAGTCTCACATAGTAGAATAAAATTTTTGTAGTTGTTGTTGTAGAACCTAATTTTAAATTAGTTTCGGTTCTAAATATAAGACCCATTTCTCATACTTATTAATTTTCTCTAAATTACTCTTATAGATACTCCCTCAACCATAATTAAGTTAATCTTTTCAGATGTGTAAAAATACTCATAAGCTTATAAAATTAGAGCAAAAATAACGCTACTAATATTATAGCGGAGCTCACCTTAATATTATGAAACTATCAAAATGCCCTTAAACTTAAAAATAAAAAAAAAGATGTCAAATGTGCAAAAATATCTATAAATTTTTAGTTCAAGTGCACCGAGTACCATATATTTTTTAATAGGTACAAAGGCACTCATGATTTTGCAGATAAATTTATTCTTTTTGTTTTGGCAAAAAAAAATCTGTTAAATCTTATTATATTATTGTAATATTAATTATTTTATGGTTAGTGTACATGTTTGGTTTTCTAAATGGGATAATTAATCTGAAAGTCCTTATAGTTTCAACTAATTTTAAATAAGGTCCATATAATTTTTTTTCTTTTTATCAGGTCCTTATACTTTTATCTGTTTTTAATTAAGTTCTTGTATTTATTTTTCTTTTTATCAAGTCCTTATAAATTCACCTTATTTTTAATTAAGTCCCTAAATTTTGTATTCTTTATTTTATAAATTCTAATAGTACTATTCTATAAACATAAAATAGTATTTATTATTTAATATTAGTTATAAAGAATAATATTTTAAAAATAATAAATTATTATAATAATTTTTTTCAAAAAAAATAATTGTTCTAAATTTTTTTCCTGAATTAATTAATTATATTCCTTATCTTTTATTATATAGTTATTAATTTAATTTAATTATTAATATTTTATGTTTCAGTATTAATTAATTTAATTAATTTTATATTTAATTAATAAATAAAAATTAAAACTAGATGAACCTGATTAAAAATTTAGTGAAATTATAAGGATTTAATAAAAAGAAAAATAAATACAAGGACTTAATTAAAAACAAATGAAAGTATAAGGACTTGATAAAAAGAAAAAAAACTATAAGGACCTCATTCAAAATTGGTTGAAACTATAAGGACTTGAGGATTAATTAACCCTTTCTAAATTTACATCAACTTTTAATTTAGCCTCTTAAATATATAAATTGTATTTTCAATTCCCTTAATGTTGACACTGCTAGTCTCATCAACTATTTAATTTAAAATTTTACATTGAACAATATTTAAAATAAAACTTAGTTTGATTTTTAACATCAACCACCTATTTTTCAATATATAAAAATATTAATGGACTAAAAAAAATTTATACAAATATTAATACACTTTATGATTTTAAGAGCAGCCTGATATAAATTCAGAGGTCCAAAAGAATAATTGTATTAATATTTTTTTCATAAAACTGAAATGAGTAATTTATTTATCCGTTCATTGGTAGCATTGTAAAGTTGCCATTTGAATTCATTGAGTGAGTATTCTTTTTGTTAATAAGATCAATAGTTTTAACATTTAGTTTGAAAATTGATAAACTTGAAGGACTAAATGGATATATCAACCATGAAACTATTAGTACTGTAATAATGTGATAAAATTTAACAGAGTGTCTTTTCTTGTTGAAACTTAAAGAATTAATTTATTTGTACGGTTATTAGTATTTTTACGCTTGTAAAAAAAACACACTGTATTTGACATATTTTGGCTAAAAGCTTATGAGTATTTTTGCACATTTGCCCCGTCTTTTATTTTTTCTGAATTAGAGATATTTTGGTATTTTTATAACACCAGCATGGGTTTCATCGTAAAAAGTAACGACCCTTAGTCATATTTAATGACGATGTCATTTTTGTTCTAATTTTGTAAATTTATGAGTACTTTTGGATCTTAGAAAAGATTATGGTGATAGATACACTTTATAAAGGTTTATAGGTATTTTTACACCTTTATCCTATTATGAAACATATAATTTTATTTTTAATTTATTATCTGAACTGTGATTTTTTCTAAGCAATTTTTTTTCTAAAAATATACATGCATTTAATATGGATAGAGATTGAAATTTATTGAATTTTAAGATTTAGTTCATAAGGTTTGAAATATTTTCTAGTTTAAACATGATGAAGTACCAAAACAACACGTCACGTGCCTCATATGGCATAAAAAAAAAATATAAAATCTCATGACTTATAATTTATAAATAATAGAACTTAATACAATTACGCATGCAAAGCATGCTAAATTGATATCAGCATGTGGAATAGGCATATATACACATAGGTTATTAGATTAGAAACACTATGGAGGAATGAAAAAGACACGTCATGATATTCCCAGTCACTTTAACTCTATCTCTTAAATGAATAATTCCGGAAAAGATATGGTTTTCTGTTACACTTAATATCATTTTTAGTTTTATCTTATTTTGATTTTGATCTCTAGAATTTAACATTATTTTTATATGCTTAGAGATTTGTTGCCAACCAAAATCAAAATAAAATTTTTTTTTGGGTCAAAGAAACGATGTATATTAATTCCAAAGAAACAAAGTTTCATCCTATGCCTTCTCTACAGTTCGACCTATCAGAAGTAAGCAAGATCAAAAGAGGGGATGGGAGAGCCAATTCCCAACCAAAAGACCACATCCCCTTACAACCAGATTTAGCTAGCCAATCAACTACCAAATTGCACTTTCTAGGAACAAAGGATAAGCTAAAGTCTGTATAGGAAGCAAAAAAGCCCTTTAAATCAGCAACCAGCCCGTTTGCTTTCCAATCAGGACAATGAGTATTTTCCTTGATTGCTTTTACCAAAGGAAGACAGTCTGATTCCACATCCACCTTGCCTAACTCTCTATCTTTATAGCGAAAGATAGCCTGATGTAACGCCTCAGCTTCACTCTCAAAAGCTGATAGTGCTCTACCTTTTTGGCAGAATAGATCTACCACTTGGCCCTGAGCATCTCGCAGTACAAAGCCCACACCACTACGATTTGTACCTGTTACAAAAGAGCCATCAACATTTAATTTTAAACTATTAGGAGGAGGAGACCAAACCATATCTTCTAATTCATTAGCTGAGGAAACCGATTGAGATTCACTCCAGCACTTAACACGCCACAGTTCATTTACACCAGTAGAAGCAGCAGTCAAGATCCAATTCAGATCTGGGTTTTTGTTTTCAAAAATCAAACCACAACGGGCCTTCCAAATGTACCAACACACATAGGCCACCACAGCTTTCAAAAAGTCATCCTGCTTAAGTTCATGCAAGATTTTAGCAAGCCAAAAATCAAAAGAAACCACGTTTAGCTCATGCACCACAATAGCAAGCGGTGAGGCAAACCAAACTCTACGTACCCAATCACATAAGAGTAAACAATGTTCAATAGTTTCAATGTGACCACAACAATAACTGCAAAAAGGAGAAACAGGGCATTTCTTTTTTGCAACAGCTTCATTAGAAGTAATATTAATTTTTTTGGCTAACGATACTGATGGTATCATAGAATGACAAAATAACGGGACAGTTGCTTCTTTCTTTGTGTTTGTGTATGTGTTTTTTTTTTTTTTTTCGGGGGTTGACACAATCATTCCCATTGATTGGCTAGAACCCAGTAAAAGAAATACCTATCTTCCAAAATGTAGGAAAAATTACAACTAGGCTCTATTAAAAGAATTTAACTACCTAAAGGTGGTTGACAACTGAAGAATATGTAATGATAAATTACATAGTACAATAGATTCAACCTAATCAATTTTTTGGCAATTCAATTTTTTTATTGGGACGCTACCGTAATCCTCCCTCAAACGTGCAAGTGACATGGCTGGAAAAAAACATATTTATATATATTTTTTAAGGTAATCATTCTAATAATAATAGTTCTAACAAGGTATTTTAAGAAAAACAACACCTATTTATTATAAATAATTAATTTAATTTATTTTTTTAATTTATTCAAATAAGTCAATTAGTTTTTATATTTAAAACTGAAAGTAGTATTAAGAACAAACTTGTTCGTTCATTCATAAAATTTACAAGTGATTATTAAAGAATTTACATGTAAGCTTCAAAATTTTAGTACAGAACATCGTAGAAAGAAACTTCAGTAAGAATGTTTGAGAAGCTCAACTTTTGAAATTCTCATATTTAGTCCTTTTATGTGAATAGGTCGTCTTTCGTTGCATTAATACGTTGTGTAGGAAAGACTCTTTGCGTTGATTTTTCACTCCCCAGACGTCACTGATTGGTCCAGCTCCAACAAATCATCTCATCGGATATTAAAAACATTATTTTTGCGAAATTTAATCTAAAAAGTGGTCAAGTTTGAAATTATATTCCGATTCTTAATATAAGACTCAATTCTTAAATTAGTTTTAGTCCTAAATATAATATCTATTTCTTATATTTATTAATTTTTTTTAAATTACCCTAATAGATACTCCCTCAACCATAACCAAGTAGAAGAAAGAGAGGGGGTATTAAGAAAAATAATTACGGTGTTTTAAAAAAACGTGTCACTTTTCTTATAATTAACTAACTTACCTAACTCTTTTAATCTAATCAAATTAGTTAAATGAGTCTTATATTAAAGATTAGAGGAGTAATTTTTTTTCTTTAAACAAAACAAAGAAATGATAATTTTTCACATATTTAAACCTTTTGGTATGCCTTCTGTTTACAGTACTGGTTATTTTAAAATTTAACATCTTGTAGTATGAGGTCCGAGATGTGATTCGGATCGAACACTGGGCCTAGATCAGGCCCGTCCCATGAATACCCTGTTGCATGGCCATGCCTATAACATGTTGAATACATTTTTTTTAATTCTGAGTGGTTCTGATTAAAATTTTTAAATTTAAAATTAAATAAAGTAATTATTACACTAAATTTGTTTTTTTTTTTTACCAGACACTAAATTTGAACTTAAAAGCAATTTTCGCTGTACTGCTTGTTTTTGGCACTTTACTTTGAATGCTTCTCACCCCTTGTTCAGGGAGTGCCCGTGACCTTGAAAGTCACCCACGAGACGACAATTAGCTGTCTTATATGTAAGAGACGCTTTAAAATATGTAGGGGTCTTGTCAATTTTTTTTTTAAATTTTTCGTGCAGTCAATAAACCGCAATTTAATTATACTCATTCAATTTAATTATGCACAATAAAAATATTTGTTTACGATATAAAATGATCATTCCATTTTTAACATGATAGCGGCGTGCATGTATGATATATTGCCTGAATTCGTAGTATAAGAGCTAGTTAATAAATTTAATTGTTGAGTTAGCTATTTATAATGAATAGGTATTGTTTTCTTTTTTAAAATATCCCTGCTAATCATGTATATATTAGTTAGAACTACTATTTAATAAAACATTTAATATGAATAACTATTATAAGGATTACATTAAAAAATAGATAAAACAAAGTAAACGAATATTTTATGTTTAAAACTAAATTAAATGATAAACTAACTGCAGGAGGTAATACATTATTACGCATGCATGCATCAAGTTGAATTGAACGCACCACCCTGTGGGAAGGCTTTAATGCCATAACGGCATGATTAGGACATCAGTAATTAATTTAACATATGCCACGCTTTATTTTATAATAAAGTAAATTATTGGAAATATTCATCATAATATTGGGAATTTGGACTCTTCGCCAATAATATCGTAGTTAATATTCATCATATTGCTAGTACATTTCTTTTTAAACTAATGGGAAAAAAAAAAGGAAAAAAGAAGAAGAGATTTTGAACCGTTCACTGTATCCAATAGCTCTCCACATGCCTATTTGAATCTGGGGCATTTGGAGATTAGTTAAATTCCCACTGATAAATCAGATATTATTCTGATCATTGAATCATAAATCTCTCTTGACTAGTTTAACAGCTTGGTTCCAATTTAGGGTGTATTTGGATGAAACCAAACCGTGGTTTGGAAAAGTGATTCTGGAGAATAGATTCTGGGAAGAATAGATCTTAGGGAAAACTAATCTAACAGTCCTTGTGGTTTTATCATGTTTTGAATTGAGTCCTTGTAGTTTTTTTCCTCTTTATTGAATCCTTAATGTTTGCACCGTTAATAATTCCACTCCTTACTGTTAATAAAGCCGTTAGTCTAATTGAGGATGGATGATATGGCATATGAGCCTTTCCTCCCCCTCAGTCGACCTCCTTTAGCTTCTCTCTCTCTTCCTCCCTCACTCAATCTACCTCCGTTCCGCACCACTATCTGTGTGCAATTATCCCTTCCACCCTCACCGCTCTTTCTCCCTCCTTATAACTTCTCCACCACCCCCAATTCTCACTTTCACTTCCTCTCAAAATAAAAAATCGGAATGAGAGAGGTGCAATGAATTCCGTCTTCCCTTCTCCTCCCTCTGCTGCTTTTGCTGATGCTTATGTAACGTTGCAGAAGAAGAAGACGCCCAAAGTCATGACAACATCGTTCTTCTCTTTTGCTTGGCCATCACTTTTATGGGCTTATTTTTAAGGAATTCAAGTCATGCATTTCTCAGATGCAGAAATAAATCCACACTACCACATAGACCAAAAAATAGACACATGTCAACCTATGATTTGAAACAAATTATTGTCACCATCATCATCCTAAATAAGCACAAATCGTCCAAAGTGTTTCATATGAGAAACCATAGAAACAGCAAGACTCTAACTGAACATGATGCAAAAAAATTCTCTAAGCTTTGGGCAACTGGCTTCATGGCTATCACTATCCGATTGTCATAATTCAAACATCCCAGAAGGATCATGTTCTAAATGGAAGACCTGACTTTAAGAGAAATGAAAGAATCACCACGATAATAACATCATAATAGTTGTGCGGGAGCGGAGGTGGACCGAGAGGAGGAGGGAGGGAGAGAAGCTAAGAGAAGTTGACTGAAAAAGACGATGACCTCAAATGCCACGTCATCCATTAACGGCTTTATTAACAGCAAGGACTGATATTATTAACGGTCTAAAGATTAAGGATTCAATAAAAAGAAAAAAAACTACAAGGACTCAATTCAAAACATGATCAAACTATAAGGACTGTCATATTAGTTTTCCCTAGATTTTATGAAAAAGTGATTTTGAGAAGTGAGAGTGTTTGGATAGTTGTTATCAGAAGTACTTTTATATATACAAATTACTAAAAAAAAGACATAAGTTAATATGATAATTACAGAAAAATAGATTTTATGATATATTTTAATTTGAAGGAATAAAATTGTTAATAATATATTTTATTAACATAATTAATAATACATAAGATAATATAATTAATAATTAATTAATATGTATATATTTTTATCAAATATAAGATTAAGAGTGTGTTTGGGTGACACCCCAAACCATGGTTTGGGGTGTCAATCACCCAAACACCCCCTCTAAAAACCAAAACCATGGTTTTGGAAAAAGCAAAATTTTTTTGCTTTTGGAGAAAAAAGGGAGAGTGTGAGAGCCTATATGATATGTATCTTGTTATTTTTTTTATAAACATATTTTTTGATAAACATATTTAATCTTATATTTTATAAATATATACACATTAATTATTTATTAATTATATTATCTTATGTATTATTAATTATGTTGGTAAAAATATATTAACAATTTTATTCCTTCAAATTAAAATATATCATAAAATCTATTTTTCTGTAATTACCATATTAACTTATGTCTTTTTTTTTAGTAATTTGTATATATAAAAAGTGCTTCTGATAACAACTATCCAAACACTCTCACTTCTCAGAATCACTTTTTTACAAAATCTATTCTTCACAGAATCTATTCTCCCCAGAATCTATTCTCCAGAATCACTTTTTCAAACCACGGTTTGGTTTCATCCAAACACACCCTAAATATGTTTATAAAAAAACATGTTTATAAAAAGAATAACAAGATACATATCCTATAGGCTCTCACACTCTCCTTTTTTTCTCTAAAAGCAAAATTTTTTTGCTTTTTCCAAAACCATGGTTTGTGCAAATTGGGTGGGTGTTTGGGTGACTTATCACCCAAACCATGGTTTGGGGTGTCACCCAAACGGTGCCTTAATTCTTATTCCCAAAGTATTGGGCCATTATTATAACCCAAAAAAAGGAAAAGGGGAGGAGGATAGGGAATTGGGCCTGACACAGAGTACTAGGCCCATATTGGTTGCAAGGGCTCCCAATGTGTTGCACAATGTTCAGCATCAGGCATTCATTTGTATAATTGTATCTGATTTGCGGCTCCTAAAGCCAATTTCGGGGTGTTTGGCACTTTGGCTGTTTGCTTTCTGTAAATCGAGATGAACTCTTTTACATATTTATTTTGTATACTGTAAAATTATTATTAAAATGATCATTTGATTTTCATCCAAACACTACCTTCATCAAATACTCAACGAACCTTGTTACTTTAACAAATGTCCTTTTTAAACTTCTCTACCTGCCGGACTGGACGAGCTCACGGACGCGAAGTCTTTTTTTTTTTTTGGTCAAAAGCCACATACGCGAAGTCTAAACAAGCCCATCTGTTTAATTTATTGGTTAAAATGTCTTAATTTAAAGCATAATTTTTGACTGGACCTAGAAGAAAAAAAGTATTTGCGATAGTATTTGGTTAAATATATACATATGCTGTGATATTTGATTCGTTGTTCTTTTACGGAAGTGCTGTCATTATTAAGCTCAAAAACCCTTTTTGTTTTTTTTTTTCCCTGTATATATGAAAAGAGGAATGCAAAAGCCATTAAAATAAGTCGCCACTGAGATAACTTGTTTATAGAATTGAACTCTTGAAAGTGCAAATAAAGAAAACGCCAAATGTTTAAAACAAAAAAAAACAAAAGACTTCTCTCCAGGCAAAGAAACTAGATACACTTAGAAAGTGTTTGGATAGAAACCAAATTATGGTTTTAAAAATATTTTTACAGTTTATGTAAAGAAATTTGTTTCATTTTGTAAAAAAATATTTTTTTAAAAATACTTTTGAGGGTTGCCAAACACTCCTGCGAAATGTCAAATTAATATGATGATTCATATATGATAGGCTGTTAAGATTTCGGCTCAACAATTCAAATTTATCATATAGAGACATAATAATAGTAAATGTAGTTGTTTATTGATACACACATTCCTCTTGTCTTATCGACGACTTTTACCTTACTTCCAACATGCCTTATGAGAGTAAAAAAATCTTAAATTTTATTAACAACTTTTTAAATTGACTCTGCTTAATATATAAAATTTTCAAGAAAATAACAAACAAACATAATATTAAATAAATAGTAAAATAATATATTGAACGGTATACTATCTCCAATCTTTAATATAAGACCTTATTTAATTTTTATTTTGGTTTTGAATATTAGACCCCAAGCTATTTTGTGTCTTATATTTATGAATTTTTTTAAGATAATCCTTTTAACAATAACAGTTCTAACTAATATATTTGATTAATAAGAATATTTTAAGAAAGAAAATATCTATTTATTATAAATAACTAACTTAATTTATTTTTTTAATCTCTTTAAATTAGTCAACTAGTTCTTATAATTAGCATCAGAAATAGTAGAAATAGAAAAATTCCACCCCGCGCTGTAATAAATAGGGTGACCACGTGGGAGTATACCTGTGGGTTCTGGCCCCAGTCGTTGTCTATATATGCAGGAGAACTGTCATTGGTCCTCGTTCTGTAACTGGCGTGTTTTGTGGACTTGGGGGACATGCACTTAAAACTGGCAATTAATGCCTTTAATTGGGTTGGGCTTCCAACCGTCCCACGCCGAAACGCGTCAGGCACTGATCAGTTCAACGTTAAGAGGAAGGGCAGGCCAAATGAAATCCCTGAGAGGAAGGAAAAGGGCCACCAGGAAAGCTCAGGACAAGACAGGACCAGCATGTGATTCTCGCCAAGGTTACTCCTATGTTTCTGCTTTTACGTCGGGGCCACGCCCCAACACGTTCATGGCCTAAGAACCATATCATTTTACTTTTACAACCCACCCAGCACCGGTCCCCACTGCAGCACGATCTTCCAGAGCCTATGAACTAGAATGTCATGGGTGATGGTGATGTCATTGACTTACGTCTTACTCAGCCGCTGAGGAAAAATCAGGGGTGTTTGGCCCGCGTTCACACGGTGCAAGATGATACTTTTTTCATATATTTATTTTATATATCATAAAATTATTTTAAATTTATAGTTTATTTTCCCTCAAACACCCTTTATAAAAGATGACCATATTGAAATATTCGGACAAAAGGACTAAAATTGGAGCGGAATGTTGGTGGCGGAGCAGGCGGTTGTCGGTGATGGCCGCGGCGAGTTACTCCGGTGAAGCGTTGATGGTGGCGGAGACGGTTTGATTTTTCCTTGGAGCTAACTATCTCTGCCAGGAGATCTTGATTTTCTAAGTTTATTCTTAAAAAAAAAATGTTAACGGAGTTCGTGGAAAAATCACTCCTGAAAATTCAAAGACATGTTGGTGCAAATTGTTGAAGAAACTTGTGAGGCAATTGAAGCTGATTTGGTAATAAAGGTATTACTGGAATTCGTTTATAAATATATAATTTTCTAAATAATTGTCAACAATGTTCCTGAAAATTTTCCCCTGGACTCAGGGATAACCTCGAGTTCGTTTTTTATTTAATGAAAAATTAATGTCCTATCTCGAAAATCCACGTGTTGCTTAGGTCGGATTTCAAGATAAAAAGGACCTCTTAAATAAACCAAGGACGGGGGCCCCTGATGCTGGAAATGGGGACAATTCGAGATGTCATTGTAGCCCGTTTTAGAGAGGACTAGGAATTAGAATGGAAAACTTTTTTTTTTTTTGACCAATTAGAATGGAAAACTTACAACTAAGTCCCAAAGAAAATTAAATACAAAAAACCCTAAAAATCATGAAATTATTTTGAAGTCTGAGAAATTTTTTTCAATAAATTTTATTTGTTTAATTACTAAATTATCTTTATTTTTTTTAAGTTTGCAATGACAACTACAATAGCAATCATTAACAATTTAAAGTGTAAAGATTGATAACTATTACGGCTGGTATTAACTGTTTTTTCAGTTGTCATTGCAAATGTAAAAAAAAAAAGGATAATTTGATAATTAAATAAATAAAATGCATTGCAATAAGGTTTTTAGGATTTCTGAATAATTTCATATTTTAAGGGACTTTTTGTTGTTAATTCTCTTGTGTTAGACCTGATTGCAATTTTCTCAATTGAGAAATAATTAAAAATAAAAAGCAGGGCGGCGAGCGGAACACGTTAAAGCCAAACACGAGGGGCCCTGTTCTGCGTGTTTGACGGGGCTCCTTATTAATTATTATATTGCTTTTGTTTTTATTTGCCCCTCCTCCTGCGTAAAATCATATTCCAGGTTTTAATTGTAAAAGTTAGAGGAAAAAAAATTAGTCCCAAGTTTTCAAGTTTACTTCACTGAGAAAAAGTATAAATGAATTAACGAATCATGAGAACGTTTTGTGAAGCTCCAGATCATTCGAGTTAACCTAGCCAAGTCAAGAACTTTTTTCTCCATGAATGTTAACTACGACAAAGCTAGTCAATTTAAACCGGTGTTAGCATTGGCATTATGGCAAACTTGGGGAAATATCCTAGGAGTAATTTACGATAAGAAAAATATGACGTGTGCTATTAAAAGTTTGTTTGATTTTTATTTTAGTCTTAAATATAAAACATTAATATATTTTATCTTTTATATTATCTTTTTTTAAAAGATAATTTTTATAATAATAGTTATAGCTAATACGTTTAATTGACAAGGATATTTTAAAAAATATAACACTTATTTATTACAAATAATTAAATTATCTGATTTTATTAATTTATTTAAATTAATCAACTAGCTCTTATTTTAAGGATCGAATATGGTAAGTTCTAATACAAATAATTAAAAAGGATGTCTTAAAAAACTAACACATTTTTTTAAAAGTAACGTAGTATATAATGCCGAAAAATCGTGACCAAATCATGCAAAACTAGCTCTCGTCCCACTTTTGAAGATTCTATGCACGCATGTAGTCAGTCATTTATTATTTTACTCTTATAATTTTATTTATAAATTACTTTTAATATGTTTTATGTAAATAAAAAAATTTAAAATTTATTAAGTCTCATTTAAAAGTTAACGATTTTCCAACTTTATTCATATTTAATATATATTATATTATATATAAATAAAATAATATAAATAAAAAATAAAATTATACATTCATATAAAAGTTTTTTTTTCACTGTCTTATAAATAAAATAAAAAATGTCTTTTTTTTCCCTGCTCAGAATTCCCTTTTTCTGCTCAGTATTCAACTATTCATTGTTCTGGCCAAAAAAAAAAACTATTCATTGTCATGACCAGTGGCCACCTACCAACGCCATGCATGGGCCCCTCCCATTGGCCAATAATAATTACCCAGATACTTTAATTATTTACGCTCTTTTTGCTTGAAATAATTCAAATACAGGGAAACTTCAACAAATATTTAACAAAGGACCTAGAAATATATAATGTATATAAATATTTTACTGCATTAAAGACTAAAATTTAATTTTGTTGATTATAAATACAACTGTATTAATTACCAAGTGTTACGGGAGCATATATGCGCACGCATGTGATATATCAAGGGCTTGCTTGGAGATGCATTCAAAAAAACATTCATAAACATATTTATACAAGTCAAAATAAAATTTTTATAAATTATGATTAAGAAATTACTTATAAATTATTTGAAATAAACCCATAATAATTGTTGTCAGTGTTGATCTATCATTTTCCAGGTGGCGAAATTAAAAAAATGGGAGGGCCAATTTTGTAGGTCTGTCCTCGTCATCTTCATTTGATTGCCTTTCACTTTCACATCCATCTTTATTTTCTTCAGAACACCGGCGCCTCATTAAGTACAGTCATGAAAATCGTAATGTTATAATAATCAGAGTGGTAGTATTTTATTTTTTAATTTCTCACAAAACACGCACGTTCCATATAATTTTTTTTATTGAGATCTGAAAGCGCGAATCGTTGTGAGACCGGTGGCTGCTGATAATGCTTCTTTTAGCATCCAAAGTCACTTTATTGAGCAGTGATACTTTATTGAATAGTGAATAGCAAGTTATAAAAAACCGGACCAAATATTAAATCAGTAAAAAAAGTGGTTTAAGGGTTAATAGTTAGATCGGGGTCGAATCGGAATTAAATCGGTTATATTAAAATAATACAATTTAATTAATTAATAATAAAACATAACAATATTAATAATCATTTATAACAAAATATAAAAAAATATAACAATAATTTAATTACAACAAAATACAACAATATTAAGGATATTCATATCCTCGCAATATTTTAATCACTAAAATTCAAAATATTATATTTGATATAAATTTTTTTATCTGGTTATATAAATTTTTAATCAAGATAATATCTAAAAATATCCTTAAATAATAAAGTATTGCATGTGTAATGTAACAAAGAAACTTCATTTCCCTCTCCGTTTTGGCCAGACGCGCCTTTTAATTTTTTAAACATATCATGAGATAAAAAATCCAATCAAATATCAGGCTTCGAAAAATAGAGAAAAAATGATGATAAGCCTGCAGAATAGAGGCTATGGATAGACTGGCTTTTTATTTTGCTGTTCCAAGACAACGTACACTACGTCTCTTTTAGTCTTTCTCCTCTTTCTTCTGCTTCTTCAATGCTTCTCTTTCACTTGTCACTTCTTCCACCGCCTCTCATCAAACTCTAAACTTTTTCTTCTTCTTCTTCGATGGGGTTCAGAAAGCAAAACTAACACGGACCTGACTCTCTAGCTTCAAGGAATGATCGAAAGTTCCTCTCCTTCTCTATCTCTCCCTCTCGTCCTTCCTTCAGATCTGATATGCTTTCTTTATGGCTCATCTTTCGCCTCTTCTTCCTCCGTTGGGAGGCCCCAAAAAAAAAGGTAACCCACTCTAACCGGCGGTTACCCGGTTAAAAACCGGTTTTTGCCGGTTTAATCGGCTTGTTGCTGATTCATTTCATATCCGGTTTAACAACCAAACCAGACCGAATTTCAGTGCGGTTCACTGGTTTTCTAATTGAACCGGTCGATCCGGTCCGGGGTTTTTTTCCTTAGTGAATAGTGACGTTTTCCTGGGGTAAAATATAAGTGGCTTTTCCGAATTGTCTAGATCATTATGCTGCGTATTTTTACTTAAATACCCCTCAATGACAGGGATAAGGAGAAAAAGAACTACTCCCTCCATTCAAGATATGTACTAAACTGTTCACCAAAAAAAACATAAACTAAATTTTAAAACTAGTTAAAATCAATTTAAAACAACAAATATACAAGACATATATTTTTTTCCAAATATATCATTATTAATTAAGAAAATAAGTAAAAGATATAATAAATAAATTAAAAAGAAGAGATGATATATAGGGCAAAATTAGAAAAAACTTATTAAATATTTAGATAAAAATAAATATTATCTTATAAAAAAACCAAACCCCTCATAGTTTATATTTTAAACCAGAGGAAGTACGAAAGAGTGTTTATCGGTTGTTTTGCTGTTAAATGGCGCGCTGTAAAATGAATACAGCTGGCTTAATTTGATTGGTTAACTTGATATACTCCGATATACTCTTTTCGTTTGTTATTATAAGATTCAATTTTTTGAATAGGTTTGGTTTTTTATAAGATTTTTTTTAGT